CTGCTGAACAACCAGCCTAATTCCCCGCTACAGCTTCTGTAATTTGGAGCAGGAGGTTCAGAAGAAAGTAAGGTAAGTTTCCCAAGGTTTTGGAAGAGATTAAAGCATTTTTTAAACTACTGATAAACAAGAAGACTGCAAATAAGTAATTTGGGGGAAAGACTGTAATAGCAAAAAACCATAAATAGCCAATTATAGAGCTAAAATTAAGCTACCTCTAGTTTTATTTTCAAGAGAGCAATGAAAAACATTGATCAAGTATGCTTTGGTAGAATGACTTTTTTCCCCCCACACGATAAACAAATGTTAATAGTCATTCATATACTGGAATCAAGGAGCTTCAGAACACACTTAGTCAATGGTTTTGAGAGGTATTTCTTAATGGCTGCTTAAGGAAAGGAAACAAAGAAACCATGTTTGCTGACAATTGTGTTTAAACTGTGGCTACTGCTTAGATGCAACTTTTTCTTTTTTCAGTAAAGTTGAGTTCAGTTTCAGCTGAGTTTCAGTAAAGGCCATTCAACCACCAGACTGAGTTAGTTAAAACAAACCTGATTTGCACAAAACTTCCTGAAACAATTCTATTTATAAAGTCCCTTTTTATGATGAATTTGAACAACTCCTAACACTGCAAAATAGCACATAAAATTTCCACACCTGGGAAGAACTCAATCTCACTAATCAGTGTTTACAGCAGTAACACCAGGATTCTAGTAGTCTGTAGTCAAAACCCAGCTCCCAGTAAGCGCAAGAAAGGCATTACCATGCCTATACTAAATCTTCCTGCTCAGATTTATTTCCTTTAAAACCATTTCTCTGGGATTGCAATTCTGTGCTGAATTTTATTTGTCAGTCATATAAATGACTTAACGTGACAAAAACCTTTATACTTGAGACAGGGATTTTGGAAGAAACTTTAAACGAACAATTTCAGACACCAAAATAAAACAGCCTCGTTTAAGCATGGTAAGAGCATTACAATGAGCTAAGTATAGATCTGCTCCTTGATGCAAAGCTTCTATTATACTTCTGTTAAACTAAAACAACCAAGCTATGTCACAGAAGTAGTCTCCAGCAATTATTCATTTTCCTGGCTTAGAGGTTCCACACAACGTATAATTTAGATTGTTCCAAGTTTTAAAGGTTTGGCAAGACCTCATTAAAGCTCTCGGTTAAATGTGGATAGAAGGAGAAATACCTGCTTTTCAAAAGTGCCTTACTGGGCATAAAGAGAGCCAGCCAAGAGGATACGTTGAGTGACACCTGGACTTGGTACGATTTCTTTGGCATATATAAGAAAACAAACCATATGGTTGAAAGATGATAAAACTAACAATGGAGGACTGGCTTCGTGAACCTGTAAGCATGTATTTTTTGAGGAAAGGGGAGAAATCTATGCAAGGAAAAAAGCAATTCATTTTTCTACCTGGCAACTTCTTTTCAGTATTCACAGAACAAACACAGAATTCACTTCGAAATTCAAGACAAGTTACTTCAGCAGACAATAAAGCTCATATCATTTACCTGTGCAACAGAGAACAACCCTGAAAATTAGCCAAACTCAGCTTCTCTAGACTCAATTTCTTCAAGAGTTTCTTCTGATCCTGTGTGAAGCCTTAAAACCACGACTGTAATGGTCAGAGACTTCGCTGCTTTCACTCACACTACTCAAAACTAACTCCCAAGTACTGATGAAGAGAGATTTCTGAGCCGTGGGTAGTAGGAGGGAAAGACACAGAGGTCCATCCCGTTCTGCTGCCTTGCCTTGTCTTGCCTCTGCAACAACCTGCAGCAGTAGCAACTGTTTCTCCTACCCTATCTCAGTGCAACTGTTTGTAACATGAAGTAAGTCTCTGGTCCACTGCACGGTATCAGACAATCTTGCTAGAGCTCTGTCCACCTCTAACAACATTCAGCTTCCAGCAGGTATTCTTGAGCCTCTGCAGCATGACAAGGTGTTTGTTTTACATCCGTCTGTCATGGGCAGCTTGCATGTATCACAGAATCACAGACTATCTCAAGTTGGAAGATCTCATAAGGACCATCAAGTCCAGCTCCCTGCTCCTTGCAAACCTACCTAAAACTGAATCGTACGGCTAAAAGCATCATCCAGTCGCTCCTTGAACTGACAGGCTTGGTGCCGTGGCCACTGCCCTGGGGAGCCTGTTCCAATTGTACCTCTCAGTGAAGTACGATATGAGAGCGGTCCAAACCCCCACTTGCAGTACCAGGCACAAGAAACTCTCCCCATATTCATTTTTCCTCTGACCAAAAGCAAGCACAGCCATAGCCAACAATCCCACCAGAAGCTAGGAAGACAGGAGGAAAAGATCAGTGTGGGAGTGCAGAGCAGGAAGTGCCTACCTTTATTACATAGGAGGAAAAAAGCACCATAAATCAGAACAGAGAGTGTGAAAGAACATTTTTGGGATAGAAGGTGGAAGACAACCTTACTTTTAGCTACAGACGAGCATCTGAAACTACTTTTGAAAATACCTATAAATATTTATTAACACAAGCCAGTGAATACCTGTCAGACAGCAACAGATCTCTGCTCACTATTGACCCAAGAAGAAGGTGGAAAAAGCCGGAGTAACTCCAAACAGTGATCCCTGGCATTATGCAGTACACTTGAATTCGGCTCCTTTAACAATTTTGCAAATCTAGCCACACATACACACAGTGTTATTTTTCTTCACCACCACTTTAAAAATGATGGATAGTAACAGAGTCTTTAATATAGCTCTCAATTCTCTTGCACATAAATCTTATCCGACACTTTAAAAAAAAAGAATTTTTTAAAAAAAAAGGACTTTGTGCCTTTAGATACTGCCTGAAAAAGTACTTTGGCAAGGGTGAAGGGGGGGAAACTTCCAACATACCTTTACAGTTCAAAAACATTTAAAAATACAAACAAGCATTTCCATACTGCAGTTGCAGTCTTCCATGTTTCTTTCAGCCACGCCTTCAAACAAAGAACAACACTGAATTATAGAGCTGAGAGAGAAAAAAGTTTGATGAAACATTAAGCACACTTGATGGGTGTGACTGATAGCAAATTTAATTGCAGTTTCTCCTCCAGTGCATTCGTATGATTGAAGTGGCTGAATACCGAAAACCTGCTTTGCTTTCCAACTACCACTGTTCACTCTGAGGCAGAAGAACTGACAACCTCCCCTAGCACTAGTTTCCTTATGATAAAGAGCAAAAATTATTTTATTTTTCTCTAAGTTGAAAAACCATGCAGAGAAGACTTCTGAAATTATAAGTTGTGGACACACTAAACAAAATACACTTAGTATGGGTCATATTTCCCCACAGAAAAAATTAACAGCAAAAATTAAACCCTTGCCAAGCAGTCACTTGACGTAAAACAAGAGAAGAAGAAAACCCT